ATCTTACCAGGGACTTGGTAATATTCTCTGCCAAGAATATTTTAGACCACAGTCTTGCAGACGGCATCTGGGGATGGTCTGATGACGTATCTAATCAATATCTTCAGAACCTAGAGAGCAATTTTCTACCAAGAATATGTTTATGAAAACTCTGCTCTTGGTAGCCAACTATTTTGTCCTCCTGGTACTGTAATTTTTTCTAAATGCACATATAGAGAAATCTGCATTATACAAATACTAGTTGCTTCAGTCAACTAAATAAATTTTTCTCCAGGAGTATTTCTTGGATGTGGAAGGGAAAAAAATAGTCCACACCACTAAAACTCTTTATTTATTTATTTGGAAAATTTATATTGCTGCCTACTCGCTCAAGGCGACTCAAGGCGGCTTACAGGAAATAAAAACACAAATAAAAGAAATAAAAATAATAAAATAATAACCCCTACCCCACTCGGGCAACAACACACACTCATATCAGCCATTTAATGGGCTCCATCCAGTTCTGGGTTCTCCAGGCCCATTGGCAGAACCACATCTTCTGGGCCTTCCAAAAGAGTGTCAGAGTGGGGGCCAATCTAATTTCTGGAGCGATGATGTTCCAGAGGGAGGGAACTACTACAGAGAAGGCCCTTCGTCTGGGTCCCACCAGATATATCTCCTTAAGGGACGGGACCCGCAACATTCCTTGCCTCACCGCTCTAGTGGATGTGACTGGCAAGAGAGGTTCCTCAGATAATCTGGTCCCAAGCCATGAAGGGCTTTAAAAGTGACAATCAGCACCTTGAATTGCACTCGGAAGCAAATCAGCAACCAATGCAACTCCCACAGAAGAGGCAACATGTGCACACCGAGGTCTTCACAAAACCATGTGGGCCACTGCATTTTGCACCAACTGGAGCTTCTGGATGCTTTTCAAGGGCAGCCCCATGTAGAGAACATTGCAATAGTCAAGACAGGAAATGACTAGGGCATGAATGACTCTCAGTATGGATTGTTGGTCCAGGAAAAGGCGTAACTGGTGCACAACCCGCAGTTGTGCAAAGGCCCTCTTCACCATGACTGCCACTTGCTCTTCGAGCAGGAGTCACGAGTCCAGGAGAACCCCCAGGTTACACAATGGGTCTTTTGGGGGCAGTGCCCATCCAAGACCAAAGGTGGCAATTCTCCAGGGACCAAAGAATTCCAAACCCAGAGCCCACTCGGTCTTGACAGGGTTCAGTTTCAACCCATTACTCCCCCATCCAGCCCCTAACAGCCTCCAGGCATGGCAAGGAGGAGGTCACGGCATCACTTAACTCACCACTGGCTGAGATATACAGCTGAATATCATCAGCATATTGGTGATATCTCAGTCCATGGTGACGAATGATCTCACCCAACTTCTTCATGTAAATGTTGAATAGGAGCGGAGAGAGTACGGAGCCCTGCAGATACTTTGCTGATCTTCTGGGATGTTACTACAGTGTCCTGGATATGGCATTGATGATCTTATACCAGTTTCTGATCTCCAAAGTCCTGATCTTTTTTTTTTTTTTTGCTTTAATATATAAATATGGTTAAAGTAGGGGATTAGCTGGTCATCCTGAAGTGGTATAGGCAATGTTGCCCTTTCAGAACACCACTAAATGATCTGAAGGGACGCAAGACCCCCAAAGCTGCATGCTGGTACATTTCTTCCTGAAAAAGAGAAGAGGGCTACATCATACCAGCCTAAGAGAAACTGCTGACCAGCAGTTTAACCTGTTTAATTCTGATAGGAAGGGAATTTAGATACAGCAAGGCACACATATGCTACCACTGATGGCTGCATGTATAACCTGTAGAGAGATGTTTAACTTTGAAATGCTTGGACAGGCACACATAATTCAAGCTTTTGTTTTGTTCTTTTATTGCTACTTCTCTATTACCATCACTTATCAGAATGGCCTGAGAGAAGTAGGAAAGAAGGGGGAAAGAAACTGATTTGTTTAGCTGTTGTAAAGCTGTGGAAATGAAATACTGTCAACATTGCTTTACATGCCCACAAATGAAAGTACTAATTTGCATTATCATGGTAATAAAAAGAAAAAAAATCACAAGAAGATATTATGTGCTGTCCATTAGATCAATTCCCATGAACCCATGAGACCCTTATGACACTGGCCTTCTCAGCTTATACTGAGAGAAGAAAAATGAGTCTTCATGAGAAAAAAAAACTAAAAAAACCCCCTCTACCAATTTAGAAAGATGTAAAAGAAAAATGGGATTTTCTTCTTTTTTCCACTCCTTAGAGTGAGGCACATTCATGCACAAAATGTGGCACCTAGAATATTTTCTAACATTATTGCTTTTTAGATGAACTGATTCTAAACAGTGAATAGTTTATAGGCCTTATTTTAAACGTGAACCTGGAGTCTTATCTTGATTTGTTTTTATGCTTTGTACAAAACATTTTCCCTTTCAAAATGCACTATTGGGATAGCAAAAATAAAAAATAAAAAGATCCAGTTCAGACCAAACAATGTTTTTTTAACTTTTCCCCCCTGGGGTCCTTATTTTCCCTGAGAGTAGAGAGCCCAAAAGAGAGGTGAAGATGTGAACTTTACATTCCGAGGCACATAGTTGGTTCCACTACCTGAAGAAGATTGAACCTAAGTTAGGAGATGACTATA